CTTTTTCTTCTTCTTCTTCTTCTTCTTCTTCTTCTTCTTCTTCCTTTCTTCTTCTTCTTTTCTTCTTCTTCTTCTTTTTCTTTTCTTCTTCTTCTTCTTCTTTTTTCTTTTTTCTTCTTCTTCTTCTTCTTCTTTTCTCTTCTTCTTCTTTCTTCTTCTTCTTCTCCTTCTTCTTCTTCTTCTTTCTTCTTTTCTTTTCTTCTTTTTCCCTTTTTCTTCTTCTTTTTCTTCTTTTTCTCTTCTTTTTTTTCTTTTCTTTTTCCCTTCTTCTTCTTCTTCTTTTTCTTCTTCTTTTCTTCTTCTTCTTTTTTCTTCTTTTCTTCTTCTTTTCTTCTTTTTTCTTTTCTTTTTTCTTCTTCTTCCTTTTCTTTTTCTTCTTCTTCTTTTTCTTTTCTTCTTCTTTTTTTCCCCTTTCTTCTTTTTCTTCTTCTTCTTCTTCTTTTTCTTCTTCTTTTTCTTTTCTTTTTCCCCCCCTTCTTCTTCTTCTTCTTCTTTTCTTCTTCTTCTTTTCTCTTCGTTTCTTTTTCTTTTTTCTTCTTCTTTTTCTTCCCCTTTTTCTTTTTTTTCCCTTCTTCTTCTTTTTCTTTTTCCCCTTCTTCTTTCTTCTTCTTCTTCTTTTTTCTTCTTCTTCTTCTTCTTCTTCTTCTTCTTTTTTCTTCTTCTTTTTTTCTTCTTCTTCTTCTTCTTCTTTTTTCTTCTTCTTCTTCTTCTTCTTCTTTTTCTTCTTTTTTCTTCTTTTTCTTTTCTTCTTTTTCTTTTCTTCTTCTTTTCTTCTTCTTTTCTTCTTCTTCTTCTTTTCTTCTTTTTCCCTTTCTTCTTCTTTTCTCTTTTTTTTCCCTTCTTTTCTTCTTCTTCTTTTCTTCTTCTTTTTCTTCTTCTTTTTTCTTCTTTTTCTTCTTCTTCTTCTTTTTCTTTTCTTCTTTTTCCCTTTTCCCTTCTTTTTCTTCTTTTTCTTCTCTTTTTTTTCTTCTTCTTTTTCTTCTTCTTCTTCTTCTTTTTTCTTCTTCTTCTTCTTTTTCTTCTTCTTCTTCTTTTCTTTTCTTTTCCTTCTTCTTCTTCTTCTTCTTTTTCTTTTTTTTTTCCCTTTCCCTTCTTTTTCTTCTTCTTTCTTTTTCTTTTTCTTCTTCTTCTTTTTCTTCTTCTTTTCTTTTCTTTTTCTTCTTCTTCTTCTTCTTTTTTTCTTCTTCTTCTTCTTCTTCCTTCTTTTTTCTTTTTTCTTCTTCTTTTTCTTCTTCTTCTTCTTTTTCTTCTTCTTTTTTTTTCCCCTTTTCTTCTTCTTTTTCTTCTTTTCTCTTTTCTTCTTCTTCTTTTTCTTTTTTCTTCTTCTTTTCTTTTTTCTTTTTTCCCTTTTCTTCTTCTTCTTTTTTATTTTCTTCTTTTTCTTCTTTTTCCTTCTTCTTTTTTTCCCTTTTTTCTTCTCTTCTTCTTCTTTTTCTTCTTCTTTTCTTCTTTTTTTCTTTCTTCCTTCTTCTTCTTTTTTTCCCTTCTTCTTCTTCTTCTTCTTTTTTCTTTTTTCTTCTTTTTTCTTTTTTTCTTTTTCTTTTTTCCCTTTTCTTCTTTTCCCCCCCTTCTTTTCTTCTTCTCTTCTTCTTCTTCTTCTTCTTCTTCTTTTTTCTTCTTCTTCTTCTTTTTTCTTTCTTCTTCTTCTTCTTCTTCTTTTTTTCTTTTCTCTTTCTTCTTCTTCTTCTTTTTTTCTTCTTCTTCTTCTTTTTCTTCTTCTTCTTTTCCCTTTCTTCTTCCTTTTTTCCTTCCTTTTCTTCTTCTTTTTTCCTTTTATTCTTCCTTTTTTCTTTTTCCCTTCTTCTTTTCTTTTCTTCTTCTTTTTCTTCTTCTTCTTCCTTCTTTTTCTTTTCTTCTTTTATTCTTTTCGTTTCTTTTCTTTTCTTCTTTTTCCCTTCTTTCTTTTTTCTTCTTCTTCTTTTCTTTTCTTTTCTTCTTTTTCCTTTTCTTTTTTTCTTCTTCTTCTTCTTCTTCTTCTTCTTTTTCCCTTCTTCTTCTTCTTTCTTCTTTTTTCTTTCTTCTCTTTTCTTTTTCTTCTTTTCTTTTCTTCTTCTTCTTCTTTTTTCTTTTTCTTTTTCCCTTTCTTTTCTTCTTCTTCTTCTTCTTCTTCTTCTTCTTTTCTTTTCTTCTTTTTCTTCTTTTTCTTTTCTTTCTTCTTTTTCCCTTCTTTTCTTTTTTTTTCTTCTTTTTTCTTCTTCTTCTTTTTCTTCTTTTCTTTTTCTTCTTTTTTTCTTCTTTTTTTCTTTTTCTTTTTTTCTTCTTTCTTCTTCTTCTTTTTCCCTTCCCTTCTTTTCTTCTCTTCTTCTTTTCTTCTTCTTCTTCTTTTCTTTTTCTTCTTCTTTCTTCTTCTTCTTTTCTTTTCTTCGTTTTCTTCTTTTTTCTTTTTCTTCTTTTTCTTCTTCTTCTTTTTTCTTCTTCTTTTCTTCTTTTTCTTTTCTTTTTCCTTCTTCTTCTTTTTTCTTCTTCTTTTTTCTTTCTTCTTTCTTCTTTTTTCCTTCTTTTTTCCCTTCTTCTTTCTTTTTTCTTTTCTTCTTCTTCTTCTTTTTTTTCCCTTTCTTCTTCTTCTTCTTCTTTTTCTTCTTTTTCTTCTTTTCTTCTTTCTTCTTCTTTTCTTTTCTTCTTCTTCTTCTTCTTCTTTTCTTCTTTTCTTCTTCTTCTTTTTTTCCTTTTTTCTTCCCTTCGCCCCTTCGTCTTCTTTTTCCCTTTTTCCCTTCTTCTTTTCTTCTTTTTCCCTTCTTCTTCTTCTTCTTCTTCTTTTTTCTTCTTTCTTCTTCTTCTTTTCTTCTTCTTCTTTTTTCTTCTTCTTTTTTCTTCTTTTTCCCTTCTTCTTCTTTTTCTTCTTTTTTCTTCTTCTTCTTTCTTCTTTTTCCTTTTTCGTCTTCGTTTTTCTTTCTTCTTCTTCTTCTTTTTTCTTCTTCTTTCCTTCTTTCTTTTTCCCTTTCTTCTTCTTCTTCTTTTTCCTTCTTCTTTTTCCCCTTCTTCTTCTTCTTCTTTTCTTCTTTTTTTCTTCCCTTCTTTTTCTTCTTCTTCTTCTTCTTTTCTTCTTTTTTCCCTTCTTCTTCTTCTTTCTTCTTTTCTTCTTCTTCTTCTTTTTCTTCTCTTCTTCTTTTTTCTTCTTCTTCTTCTTCTTCTTCTTCTTCTTCTTTCTTCTTTTTCCCTTCTTTTTCTTCTTTCTTTTCCCTTTCTTTTTTTCTTTTTCCCTTTCTTCTTCTTCTTTTTCTTTTTCCCTTTTTCCCTTCTTTTTCCTTTTCTTTCTTCTTTCCTTTTCTTTTTTCTTCTTCTTCTTCTTCTTTTCTTTTTCCCCCCCCTTCTTCTTCTTTTTCTTCTTCTTCCTTTTTTCTTCTTTCTTTTTCCCTTCTTCTTCTCCTTCTTCTTCTTAATTCTTCTTCTTCTTTTTTCCCCCTTTCTTTTTCTTCTTCTTCTTCTTCTTCTTCTTCTTCTTTTTCCTTTTTCTTCTTTCTTCTTCTTTTCTTCTTCTTTTTTCTTTTTCCCTTCTTTTTCTTCTTTTCTTCTTCTTCTTCTTCTTCTTTCTTACAACATGCTTTTGAATAGGCAATGGTTCTATTCTTGTTTTTCCTTTAATAGAGCCCTGAAACCCAAACGGGGAGGTCAAGTTCTGTATCCAGGTGTTTCTGGTTCTGCCTCTTTTTCTCTTCCCCTCTACATTTGGTATTTTTTTTTTTTTTTTTTTAGACGTTGTTGGATCACATGACATGTCCATTCCATTGCATTTTCCGTCTTTTCACTGAAGTTATCCGTCGTTCATGGTTGTCAATTTAACATGCATGAATAAAGAAGGAATATAGCATAGTGTGAGTTAAACTTACTGAAAAAAACAAAACCGGTGATTTTTATTATAGCAAAACAAGGAAACATTCCAGTTTGAAATATAATTATGTTGCACTCTTTATGCACGAAATCGCTAGCACACAGTACATAAATATGATAAAATATTCCATAGTTTGAGACGTGTTAAAACCTAGTATATGCTATATATATATATATATATTAGTATAAGTGCAAAACATTTACAAAGAGTAGATAGCAGGGGCAGAACATATCCACTTATGAAGTACGCTGTCCAGGATAGGCCACCGACAAACACACATAAAGACACTGTCACGGATACCAGCTATAAAAGGGAGGTTTTCGCAAGAGGCTAAAGTAGCCTTCTATTAAGAATGCAGCATTGCCGGATTATATATGAGACCTGCCGCTGACCTACAGCTGAGCGTCTCAACGGAAAGAGAGAGGAAGACCAAGGCGGTGGATAGACGATGCAGATGAAACATGCAAACAAATGAAGAGAATCATCACTTAAGCACCCGCGAATCGAAAGACAAAAACAAAACAAAAACCACGACACTGGGTTACATACAACTAGTAACAACAAAAGCAGAACTAGAAATTGTAGTCTAGAACTACAACTGTGCTAGCAATCATTACACTAATATTTTGAGACGTTCATTTTTCTTCTCATGCCTTCGCTCTTAAAAATGCCGGTTGGCATGTTCTGTTGTGGTTAGCAGTCAGGCTGCGATATCTCCGCCTCTCGGCCAAACATCTGATTTCAGCACATTACTCAGTCGGTGTTTTTATGTGCGTCATTCTTTTTAAGTGCAGTAAGCCTACCCCCCCCCCGCCCCTTCCCCCTCTCAACCCGCCTCTTCAAATGCACATCAGCATGGTAGACGACTTCGTCGTCGGTCAGGACAATATTTGGATCTGTCTCCTTTGATCGCATCAACACTGCAGGAGTCCTTTTCAGGGCTGTAGGTGGCGTACAATGCTAAGCCATTTTATGTGGCGCAGTTAACCTGGTCACAAATATAACCTTAAGCGAACCCTGAGGATGCTGGTTGAACGTGACACTATTTTATATTTATTTTCTAGCAAAGGACTTGCCTACCTACCCGCAGATGGGTGATACAATCCACACGGGGATGTTTCCATTTTTAAAACATGTGTGCAATCTAGAGCGTCAGTCTGGCTTGTACAAATCACATTAACACATTAGGAAACCCCATAGTATGGGACATATGTTGTAGTCCCGCTAAACGATGTGGGTAATTTTGTCCCGCTGTACCAAAATCCAGATGTGTACTTAGCAGAGGCTGTCTGTACATCATAATGGTATCAATGGAAGCTGCCATGGTATCCACGGACGCCAGATGGTGGCTGGGATACCCCATAATACTGCTGGAGTTAAACGGAAAGCGTTCGTCTGCACCGATGTACCCTGGGAGAAGAGATAAGGGTAGATTACTATAGTTTCTACTTTTAAGATCGACTACTTTTGGCGGTGCGTTGGGAATACCTTCAAAAACGTCTCGTTTTCTTTTCCCGCCGATTTCCTCCAGAGTGTCAACTGAAATGTGCCTATCTGTGTGTGTTTCTTGATGTTTCGTGTCTTGGATTGTTCTATTGATTTGCAAACTTGATCGAAGAAACTCTGTATAGCATTTACTTAAGGCACTCATGTGAACCCCAACATGCATAAAGTTGCTATCACATGAAGTGACCTTGTCTTCAGTTTCGTTCGCGGTTCTATCTTCAGTTCCGATAAGACGGTCAATGCCAAACGAGAGTCGAAGCTTCTTGTAGATGCGATTAGTGGTTGGGCTGCCTTCTTTGATACTTTCATTCCCTGGACTTTGTTTAGGGGAGGAATTACCTGTTTGGGATGCTGGGCTGTGAATCTCTGGCGCGCCGTTATCTTGGTCACAGAAAACTGCTTTCATTGGATGGTCTACTACTGTATGGGTATGCCATTTTTCTTGTGTGTTGCAGCAACTATTACATCGTTTATTGATCGTTTTCTGTACAGATTCATGCAACGGCATATCTTGGTTATGGCAAGTTTGAGGTAATTCTTCACTATGTGAAGTGCTTTTAAATCGATGTCCCTTACAAGAGCCACTCAAACTGGCTTTACCTTCAAAAACTACTCCTCTATCATTGTTTTTGTTACAACGAGAATTAACTTCCTCTTTAGCTTGATCAACATTGTTTATCACCTCAAGTTTGTTATCTAAAACGGCTTGGCAATCACTATCACTTGGGCGGGTGGGAGTAATTCTGGACACAGATGTGGCATCCGATGTCGACCGTCGGCGTTGGGCCATATCTTGATTATATCTGCCCTTATGTTGGGATTCAGAAGGTGAATCACCAAGACTGTTCTTGTTACCAAAGAAAGTTCCATTGATTGGGTTGGTAATGTTGTTATTTTTGTTGTACTTTCCATCATCACAATTAGCACTGCCACCATTAGGCTGTAGAACGACGCCATTTTCATTATTGCACATTTCCCCTTTGGCCTGCCTATTCAAAGGACGATTAGCTATATTATAAATACAGGCATCGCTGTGGTCACTCATTTTGCTGCCTACAATGTCCAAAAACTCGTGGCTTTCGCTGCTATGGTTGTCATGGAAGTCGATGTTCTCGAGTTTCCCATCACCTCCCTCGTCGTTACAGCTCTCGATGCTGTTGTCAGCAAGATCTCCACACGATGGCGAGTCTGTAAGTGCTCTGTGCTGCTGAACTTTGACCCGTCTCTTGCGTCTTCGGTAATTTCCTTCTTCGAAGAGTTCGTCACAGTTGGGATCCATGGTCCAATAGTTGCCCTTTCCTGGTTGGATAAAATAGAAACAGGTGAAATTTAGTTGTATTTTAAGATAGATATGACTATCAGTATAGGTCTATCTGTTTGTTTATCGGTTGAGCGATCAGTCGGTCAGTCTGCCCGTCTATCGGCCAGCCTGCATGCCTGTCCGTCCGTTCCTGCAAATGTTTATCATTCAATCCATTTGCTTTGTGTAGTTTTGTTAGGTCTAGTCGGTGTTTTTTTTTCCCTCCCAGTTCTTAGGTCTGACTCTGACTCGTTATCAATCAGGATAAGACACAATACATGATAATAAGTAGACAGGAAAAGGATAAAAACTCCGTCCACATACAAGTCGATAATATGAAAATCAAACGAACGGAAACATATAAGTATTTGGGTGCAAACTTCTACTGCTCCAACATGCTCAGAGAAGAAATACTGTCTAAAATACAATCTGGAAAAAAGGTATACTATGCCCCTCAACATCTGCTAAAGTCAAAGTGTCTGTCTCGCAACACCAAGATCAAAATATATAAAACGTTGATTTAGACCAGTCGTGTTATTTGGCTCTGAAACTTGGAGCAAAGCTAAAAGAGATAAAGCCTTATTACAGGTTTTCGAAAACAGTCTTACGACGAATCCTTACACCCATCAAATATGCAAACAGCAGGGAATGGAGAGTGAGAAGCAACAACCAAATTCAATTTTTTTTTTTTAATCACCGCTGATCACTGGCATCCTGAGAGCTAATAGACTTAGATGTTTGGGGCGTATTGAAAGAATGTCAGATGACAGAGAAGTAAATACTGTATACTAAAGGGAGATGAATGATCGTAGACCACAAGGCAGACAAAGAAGAAGATGGATGTCCAGACAGACCTGCAAACACTTGGTGTCACTAAATGGAAAGAAAGGGCCAGACAGAGAGCTGAATGGAGGCGGGTGTTATCTGCAGCAATGAACCTCGGTAGCTCGGAATGCTGAAGAAGAAGTACGTCTGACCTTCTCCAGAGGTCTGTCGCATGCTAAGATAATTATAATAATGATGCTGATGATAGTGTCGATGCTGATGATGATTACGATGATGATAATAAAAAAATAATGATGACTTGATGTGAGTTTCAGGAAAAACAAAAAGAAACCTTTACCTATCGGCCAGTTGTGCATAAATTTGAATCTTTACGGGGAAGGGATTGAAGCGGGCTGGGTGACATTTAAAACGGACCTCCCTCCAAGTGGATCCTAAAATTATATCTTCTTCTCCTATTTCTTCGCCGTTACTGGCTGCAATTTCTGGTTGTTTGTCCACCTCTAGACTGTAGTCTTGGCCAGAACCTGAGTGCTACGTACACATCTGTCTTATTTGCATGCAGATTGTTGGTTCCTTGCCTTTCTGAAAGACGCACTTCGACTTCGAAGAAAACTCCTAGTTAACTCCGATAACATGTTTGTAAGGAAAGCGTGGGGGAGGGGATGGGGAGGGTGAAGGAGAGGAGGGGGAATTCACAATGGGGCCACGGAACTCCCACGGATAAATATGAGTTCAGAAAATGTGTAAAAGTGTACCGTCAACCATATCACCTTGCAAATACTAACGAGTCTATACACATTATGAGAATATAAGTATATAGCCGATGCTCTTTAGGGCACAACCTGGGTCCTCTAATCATGGTCATAAAGTGTAGTGCCAGCCGTCGTAGGCATTCATGCATCGCCACAGATCTCGGTCTCTGGTATTCTGGATCAATTCCACTGATGCTATTCCTCCAAACTACTGTCTTAAGCCATCCACCATCATTTCCCTTGGTCTGCCTCTGCCTCTTCTACCAGTGATCTTTCCAGTCGTCACGATATTTTCCGGTGCTTCTTTTCTCATCACACGACCAAAACACTTTGTCTCCTTTTTATTGTTGTATATAATGTTCTACTTTCAGTGGCCAGTTCCAGGCAAGCAATGTTAGTTATTCTAGCAGTGCAAGGTACTCGCAACATGCGTCTCTAATATTTATGTAGCAGGGCCATTTTCAACGCCTTCAGGTGTACAGGGCATATGGCAACATAAAATAAAGGCCCATTTAAACGCCAGTGAGGTATCGGGCAACTGAGGCTACACTCGTCTCTTTTATAGACCCAACGGCCCTGGTCTGGTGTTGTGGTCTACATCACGCCGGCCACCTTTACTTTAACAGTATGTTTGTGTGTAACAGTATGTTTGTGTGTAAAAGTATATTTGTGTGTAAAAGTATATTTGTGTGTAACAGTATATTTGTGTGTAACAGTATATTTGTGTGTAACAGTATATTTGTGTGTAACAGTATATTTGTGTAACAGTATATTTGTGTGTAACAGTATGTTTGTGTGTAACAGTATATTTGTGTGTAACAGTATATTTGTGTGTAACAGTATGTTTGTGTGTAACAGTATATTTGTGTGTAACAGTATATTTGTGTGTAACAGTATATTTGTGTGTAACAGTATATTTGTGTGTAACAGTATGTTTGTGTGTAACAGTATATTTGTGTGTAACAGTATATATGTGTGTAACAGTATATATGTGTGTAACAGTATATTTGTGTGTAACAGTATATTTGTGTGTAACAGTATATTTGTGTGTAACAGTATATTTGTGTGTAACAGTAAATTTGTGTGTAAAAAAAAATAAGTAAATAACATACACGTACGCGCGCAGACATTACATAGTGACCTGTCAGCTACACGCACAGCTAGCTTACCTGGAGTTCCCTTATCTCTGGGCACTTTAATGAAACACTGATTGAGACTCAAGTTGTGACGGATAGAGTTCTGCCAGCCTTGCCTGCAAGATCATAATAAATACATAGAGGTTAAAAAAAACAGACATTTCAGTTTGGTGAAAACTTATCAAAACAAGACGCTAAACACGTATTAAGACAAGAAACTACAGAAACACACACACACACACACACATATACAAAAGACACACATTTACGCGTTTATAAACTGTTAAAAAAACAGAATTACCGTTTCCTTTAATTTGTTGACGGAAAAGAACCGTACGTCTAAAAACTATTGATGACCCAAGATGATAAAATTTTCAATTAGTTGATTGAACCCTAAGGTATTTTTGTGTGCAATTTTGATAATTTTCTTTATAGTAAAGCGCCTGTCTGTCTGTCTGTCTGTCTGTCTGTCTGTCTGTCTGTCTGTCTGTCTGTCTGTCTGTCTGTCTGTCTGTCTGTCTGTCTGTCTGTCTGTCTGTCTGTCTGTCTGTCTGTCTGTCTGTCTGTCTGTCTGTCTGTCTGTCTGTCTGTCTGTCTGTCTGTCTGTCTGTCTGTCTGTCTGTCTGTCGTTCCGTGCGTCTGTTTGTCTGTCTGTCTGATTGTCTGTATGTCTTCCTGATTGTCTGTCTGTCTGTCTGTCACAGAAACTTGTCAATAGCATCTTTATTCCTACTTTATGCTATCGGTGCCAAACAAGGACAATGAACAGGGTACTAGAATAGAAAATACTACCTGTAAAATGCGCTGTCTCTATAAGGTCACTAATGAGACAAGAATGGACAGGGTTACAAATACAGACAGACCTAAATACATATGAGACTTTTCACTGTGGAATGTCTGGGAGGAAGGAGGGGGAGACAGAGAAGGAGACGAATAAATGTTGTAGCTGAAACCTGTTAAAAAAACGTGGAAGAAAAACATCACCCAAGCCACCCGAAAACGTGCAAGACAAATACAGAAAACCACGACACTGGGCTACAATCTAATATCGGTAAGACGACACAACCTCGATACTGGGCTACAACCTAGTATCGGTTAAACGACACAACCTCGATACTGGGCTACAACCTAGTATCGGTTAAACGACACAATCTAGACACTGGGCAACAACCAAGTATCGGTGAGACGACACAACCTTAACACTGGGCTACAACCTAGTATCGGTGAGACGACACAACCTCGATACTGGGCTACAACCTAGTATCGGTGAGACGACACAACCTTAACACTGGGCTACAACCTAGTATCGGTGAAACGACACAATCTAGATACTGGGCTACAACCTAGTATCGGTGAGACGACACAACCTTAACACTGGGCTACAACCTAGTATCGGTGAGACGACACAACCTCGATACTGGGCTACAACCTAGTATCAGTGAGACGACACAACCTTAACACTGGGCTACAACCTAGTATCGGTGAAACGACACAATCTAGATACTGGGCTACAACCTAGTATCGGTGAGACGACACAACCTTAACACTGGGTTACAACCTAGTATCGGTGAGACGACACAATCTAGATACTGGGCAACAACCTAGTATCGGTGAAACGACACAACCTCGATACTGGGCTACAACCAAGTATCGGTGAGACGACACAACCTCGAAACTAGGCCACAACCTGGGATCAGTGAGACGACAAAAGAACAAGAAGAAGACCTGACCCTCAGATTACATCGCCTCTAGCCGTCGCCACCCCCTACATGTAACATGACAGTACACTACTCACTTATTGTCCAGGTAGTAAGGAAACCGTTCCATGATGAAGTTGTAGATGTCATTTAGGGTGGCCCGCCGTCCCGGGGACGCTTTGATTGCCATACTGATGAGCGCGATGTAGGAATAGGGAGGTTTCTGTATGTGCTCACGGTGTCGCTGCAGCTCGCTGAGCATGGCGCTGTATTTGAGCTGTGGGGTGAACAACACAAAATCAGTGGTACCTCGGTAGACGTACTTAATCCGATCCTGATATTTGGACGTATACCAAAAGTACGTGTACCAAACAGTACGTATACAAAAAGTACCGATACCAAACAAAAAGTGTACGAAACAGGACCTATACCAAACTGTACGTATACCAGACAGTATGTATACTAAACTGTACGTACACCAAACAGTATTATAACCAAACAGGACGTATACCAAAAAGAGCTATACCAAACAGGACGTATACTAAAAAGTACGCATACCAATCAATTTGTATACCAGAAAGAACGTGTACCAAACAGTACGTTCACTAAACAGTACCTATACCACAGACTGTACATATACCAAACAGTACGTATACTTAACAGTACTTATACCAAACAGGACGTATACAAAACAGTACGTATACCAAACTAATTTTCCCACACGAAATCAAGCGAGAAGGATTACTCCTTTCCCGTGAATTAGAAAAAGTATCATTATTATTGGCATAGTATACACTGATGGGCGGCGTCCGTAGTTTAGGCGTTGCGAGTCCGACTCGTAATTCCAACGTACCAAGATCAAAACCCATTTCTGGCTGCGTGGATTTTTTTCATGATATAGGGCGTTGCAGGTCGACCCAGCTTAAAATGGGTACCAGGATGGCTGTCCTGGGGAAGTAAAGACGGCTGGCGCAATGCTGACCACATTACCCACCTAGTGCCGATTGGTCTGTAAAAATTTAGGACTCTCTTCCCATATGCCTGATGCACTTAAGGGCGTAAAAAGAGATCTTTACTTTACTTGTACTTATTATACATTCATTGTGTGATATAAAATATGAACATGGGGGTATGAACATTTAACCTCACTTCGCCTTCCTGAGAAGAGTTGAGTACCTACTAGGATGGTGATGAGAAGGGAGGAGGAGAGGTTATGTTTGGAAGAATAGTCATCTTTCAATAAAACTTCAGGAATCTGAAATTCAGTTGTCTTTAATCTTCCATTTTTTTCCTTCTGTCTCTTTTGTGCTATTTGGATCTCGTTGAGAGTAATCGGGTTTTACTTTTATTAAAAACAGCCTAAAGAATTTTGCTTCTGCCTTGTCCTCGTGATTTGGCTAAAATGGAAAATTGTCTGGTAAACCCAGATAATGCTTTTACGGCTTGTTTGGACTTTCTTGGAGTTGTTGTTCGCGTTCATCGGCTGTAAACCCCGATAGAAAGACCTGGTTGTTCGTCCATTCCTGGACTTTGACTATGTTCCACGACCTGAGTTTTGCGTGTGCATCCGTTTTATAGATCTTGCTTTTTGGATGCAGACTGTAGCTTTCTTGCCTCTCTGGCAGATGTACTCCGACTTCGAAGAAAGCCCCTGAAATAGTCGACTCTTACGACATGCTTGTTGTCGAGGCAGAGGGCATATTCTTGTTTTCCCCACAATGCGGCCCATCGTTCGCCCATTTGTGCACTTTGGTTTTGCTCCACTACATAGTCTTTGCATGCACATCCGTTTTACAGATCTAGTTTATTTGTAAGCAGACTATTAGTTCCTTAGTTCTTATTCTCGTGCAGACGCACTCCGAATTTGTAAAAAATACTTCCAGCTGGTTGCCATCTTCGACATGCTTTTTTTAGACTGCAGTGGATGTGTCTGTATATACAAATATATGTATATATATATATATGTGTATCTGTGTGTGAGTGAGTGTGTATTGTGGTGTGTGTGTATGTGTGTGTGTGTGTGTGTACACACAAAAAACTCTATTAACCGTCACTTGAACGTCATTCTCTGTTATCCGTCATCGTCTCATTAAAATGTTGACGAGAAAGGATCAACTCAACCTACAACTAACCGATCAGAAGCGGAAACAATATCATCCAAATGCAGTAACTGTGACTGACTGACTGACTTTCTACCCCACCAGGACATCACACAAGCGACAAACACCCGATGACACAATGTGCCACCATGTGGATGAGTATCACCGTGGAGAGGTCCCAGAAACCGCGTTCAGCCATTAGGCCACATCCATGGCCGGGCTAAATTACCGCCCCTGGCAAGAGCCAGAGTGGGTTGTTGCGTATCCTTTACAGGACGTTGCAGAACCAACTCCTGGCTGTTGTGTGGTTTTCCTAGGCAAATTTACGTCCAGTAGTTTGCCATTGCTTCCTGGACGGTCGGCTTTCTTCATACCACTGTCGAAACCAACGCAAGGCGCATGGCCCGCAGCTGGGAATCGAACAAGGCTTCCCGGCATTACGAAGCGTTTGCATCGACTTAACCACAGAGCCGACAAGAGCCAGAGTAGGGCCTCAAAAAACTGAAAATTGCATTCTAAAAAGGACGGGTAGTAATTTTTTGGCATTAACTGTTTTAAAATATAAGAGGTGTCAAATGCAACACAGATCCTACTTCTGCTTCAGATGCGGAACATGACCGGGCAGAAAGCCCCAGCCTCAAATACACAGAAGGAGATGTCAGTTATTTTAAATACGCTTATGTTTATAGTGTTTGCGTCCTGGCGAAACCGGACTTTTTTTTTTCCCCCACAATGTCATTGACTTCTAGGTCGACCCAATGGGTACTAGGTGCAGTCTTGGGAAGTAAAGGCGGCCGGCGTGATGCTGACCACAATGCCCACACAGTGCCGATTAGTCTACAAATTTATGTTTGCTGTAAGCCTATATTTCCAATAGGCGTGGAAAATTTACTTTTACGGTTATAGTATTACCTGTGCATAACTGTTCTTATACTGAAGTTTATACTGATCGTTTTAAAAATTGAATACAATTTACAGGATTTTTTGGACACTTTGTCTCAAACCCGCAGTAAAATCACGTTACTGTACCTGTTTACTGAGAAATTTCAGTTACCTGCCTATTGTTATCTGTATATTCTGTTATCCGTCTATTCTGTTATCCATCTATTCTGTTATCCGTCTATTGTGTCATGCGTCACAGCTCTGGTCCGGATGGTTACAGTCAAATATGTATATTTTCGTTGTCAAAAATGGTAATATGGGACACACACAGGAAAGCTTTGGATTTAAGACTACAAACATTTAAATAGACAGTTAAATAAATAAATAAAAAGCTAGTTGCCGCTCTAGTTAACGTTACTCTACCTGTGACATGAGAAACCCTGACCCTGGTAGAAATCCACCACCGGAAGGAAGTTGGTGACTTGGAGAACGCGACTGCGCATGTACAGGATACAGCCGGGGAGGCAGCTGATGCAGCCGGCTAAGACATGAGTCTTCGTCCACCCTACCAGAGCTTCCACTGATGTTGCTGCCATAGTGGTGGTAGCTGGGAGGGAGGAGAGCAGGCGAATATGGCAGAACTCCGAAGGGATGTCCCAGTCCGAGGTGGCTTCCTGGTGACCTAACACCTTGCATTGCTTCTGTAGATGTTGTCTTTGATCAGTGTTGAAATACAACACGCTAAATGTGGTTTTCGGAAGCGTTGGGTGGTGGTCACTTAAACGGCTTCACGGGCAGCATCTGGGACTTTTCTTTGGCAGAAGACACTGAAATACACAAACAAAATGCAATATAAATCTTTTACTCGCATTGTGACTTATGGTTTATGAACACAGTTTGGTAATTCCGACAACTCGTGTGCAATTATTCATTAGAGCGTTATGAGGATTTTGACAAATGGCATGAGCGTTAGCTTTCAAGTGAGCAATGCAAAAAACTACGTTACGTTAAATTGCCTTGTGAAACCACAAAAAGACAAGTTCTTTTTGTGTGTTCAGCCTCAAAGAGGCGGTTTGTTTGTTGTCTTGTGATTTGCAGCCTGGCTGCGATATCTGTAAAAGTTACTATTGTACTTGTAAATAACCAAGTAAGTCGTAAAAAATGAGAATAGCGGAGGTAGCGTTAGCAAAACATAAACAAATTATGAAATTAAAACTTTTAAATCCTGTGTTTAGCTCTCAAAGTAAACAATTTTTGTGATCACCCTTTTCCCTCCCCCCAACCACCGACTGCTGCTCTCTCGCTCTCCGAAGGATTTGAAAGTCATCACCTGACGATATGTTTTGTAACTGACATTGACATCCCTGTCTATCCGTACTAAAATAGGAAGCAGCAATTGTAAAAGAAGTAAATGAGGCCAGTGTAATATTTACCACACCATCCTTCAAGTATTCACAATTCACTGACTACTCTTTCACTCATCGAAGTAGTTTTGAGGGAGGGGGGGGGGGGTGAAAAGCGACGAAAACAGGAAAAATACACCAAAATTACGAACTGAGCGTTATTGTAAACGACATACCTTGATACCAACGCAGTTTCAGACACAATCATTAAATCAAAATGAAAATAAACAGAAACATTGAAATGAAATCGTAGTATGTTAAATAGGCAAATTTATTGATCAACAGGTTCACCTGCAAAACTGCTGTCTTTCAAAAATGTATGGTCATGTGGTCACTACGTCATACGCAATGGTGAAGCACCTTGTCATTCGCATACATTCTTGAAGCAACTGTTTTTATATTCCGACTACTTCTATCTCTCCCTCTTCGAATGGATTTAAAATTCATCACTTGTCGAAAGTTATCGTAATTGACCCTATCATCCGTGTACTGCCGGACTAAAATGGGTAACAGGAATGGTAATGAGACGTAAATGCGGCCGGTGTAATATTTACCACAGCATCTATCAAGTGCCAGTACAACAACTACTACCACCACAACAACAACTGAAATAATGTCACTACCGTCTGTTTTACCACCTTTCATGGTCGGTATAGACAACATGTCGTGAGTCAGAGTATTTAGCGCCACATGGCGGGTACTGTGACAGTAAGCTCTCTCAGTTATCAGTTTCTGTCATCACCCCCTTCGTCCTCTACCCCACCCCCCAAAAAACCTTCTTCTCCCCCCCCCCCCCCGCCCAAAAATCTACTGACTACTTTTCTCTCTCTCAACTATGGTGTAGGCAGGGGGAGTCTTTGAGTCTGAGTATTTAGTGACGCAAGGCTAGTGTTGTCGCCACGACTGCGAAGGTGTGGATTCTATTTTGATCCCTAGTTTAAAAAAAAAAAAATTCACCAACCGTACCGAGGATTCGAACCCGGAACCCCCCCCCCCCCCCGTTCCCCCCCCCCCTCCAAGAAACCCAGAGTTCTAACCGTTCAGACAACCATTTCTCCGTGAAAAGGAAAGAGAGGGGGAGGGAGGGGGTATGTTAAAATTCGAAATATCAATATTAGTTTCGAAAGAAATTTCTATCACAACTTAAAACCGCAGTCATTTGCTTTCTCAGTGACAAATATCCCAGAAAGGAAATTCAAGAATTAATCAAACTACACGGCAAAGTTTAGCGGGAAATGACAACCTATTTGGCCGGCGGATGCTGAAAGTGGTGCGTCCTGAATACTGCGCATGCGCAATTACGAAAGTGGCTTTAATTAAATGCCACTGTACAAAAAAAAAAATATTAGTTTTGAAAAGTGTTCCAGCTAATTTTGCCACCTATTTCAAACTGACAGGTAGCATCCGGGCATCAAAACATATCCTGAAAATTTCAGCGAAATCGGTTCTGTAGTTTCCGAGTCTGGAGTTGTACTTGACCAAAACGGAGGCATTAAGACTGAGCTGGCTACACGAAAAGCAGCTGCTGGGAGACTCTTCCAGGCCATAAACCGAGGGTTTCTTAGCAAAAGAGAAATTGGCAAGAGGGCGAAAATGGCTGTTTACCGCTCTACCTATGTACCAGTCCTGACCTATGGTTGTGAGTCATGGGCAATGACAACAGCTCACAGAAGCCAGCTGCAGGCCTCGGAAATGAGATACCTGAGAAAGGTGGTCCAAGTGACAAGAAGGGACAAAGTCCGCAATCAGACAATACGTCAAGATCTTGATACCCAGCCCTTACTAACCCGAGTAGATCAGTCACAGTTACGATGGTTTGGACATGTATGCAGAATGGGAGAAAATCGGCCACCATGGCAAGCATGGGAGGCTAAGAACCAGGGAACCAGACCTCCGGGACGACCCAGGGTGCGCTGGGAAGACAACATCCGACAGTCCCTAACTGACAAGGGGACTGGAATGGAACAAAGCCAGAAAGAAAACTGCGGATAGAGACGTCTGGCGATCTCTCTGGCAAACCTCTACACCCCAAGGTAGAAGAGGAGCGACTAATTAAGTAAGTAAGTTTCCGAATCTATAGGTAACAAAGAAACAAACATTGATTTTATATATATATCTAATTTTATAACCCTAGATGTATTGACCATAATTTCATAGATCAACATTTTATAGACCCTAATTTGATAGAGCATAATTATATGGACCATTATTTGAAAGACCATAATTTTGTCACCATAATTTCATAGACCATTACTTTGTCACCATAATTTTAAAAAGAATAATTTTGTCACCATATTTTTATAGACCACAATTTTGTCACCATAATTTAATAGACCACAATTTTGTCACCATAATGTTATAGACAATAATTTTATAACCCTCGTTCATTTGGGAAATTCTTTATTTTTCTTTTCTTCTTCGCGTTTTCCGACTGTAAACTCAGGCGGAAAGCTCTCCGGACTTTAGTCTTGTTCCGGAACCTGAGTGGTGTGTGCGCATCCGTTTTACACATCTGACTTTATGCAGACTATTGGTTCCTTGCCTCCCAGGCAGATGCACTTCGAAGGAAGCCCCCAGTTAGTCGACTCCTATGTCATGCTTGTTGTGGTGGCGATCGGTCTGTTATTGTTTTTCCCCACAATTTAGCCCCGTCATTTCCGTTAAATTAACAATTAGTTTGAACAGAGATGGTTAAATTACTGTTAAGATCACTGTTAAATTCTTGCTTCCTGCAGTGTTTGTTACATTAAAAGCTTTCTGGAACTGAAATGTCAACAACAACAAAAATCTCAAAACAATATAACGAGAATGACGAGGTCCATCTGGGAGCCCTGGTTATTTTATGAGAAAGTATCCGACCTGAGATGGATTCAAACCTAAAGCCTTCTGATCGACAGGCGGAGTGCGAAAATTTGTTTTTTTGTTTGTTTGTTTTTTAAATGTGTTTCTAATTCGGCTGTATGGATTGGGGGAGGGGGGAGGAGGGGGGGGGGCGTGGGGTCACCGTGGCGAGGTGATCAAGCCATTTATCTCGCAGTCTTAGTTATTAGGTCGTGGGTTCGTTTCTCGGAGGCGTCATTCCGTTCACGAATGCAGTTTTTACGGAGATACCCAGGGTTCGTCGCCGAACCTACGGAGTTCGCGCGTTGTGCAAGATGCTAGCCTGTTTTTTTTTTTCTTTCTGGGAGTGACCAAGTCATGTGGAAAAACCTGATGCAATGAAGTCGATTCTCTCGACTGTAACTTTTACTGTATGGATTAGTGTGTTGGGTAATGTGCAATGATACTGGGGAAGAATCTGAGACAAGTTTCTACCCTTTTGTGTTATATCGAAGGTTAGTTGCGTATCCTTTACAGGACGTTGCAGAACCAACCCCAACAGCCCCTGGCCATTGCCATTGATTTCTGGACGGTCGGCTTTCTTGATACCACTGTCGAAACCAACGCATTGCGCAAGGTCGGCAGCTGAGATCGAACCCGGCATTCCGGCATTACGAAGCGTTCGCATCGACTTAGCCACAGAGCCGACTGTTGGTAATATACAAAGTGATATTCTAAACATCTGATAATATAACACTTTCTGCTACCATAATTTGTTAATTTACCCTCTTCTATCCGAACATGCTGTAAATGTAGCGAATGTTGCTCTAATCCGGTAATTTAACAATATTTATTTGCTTGTTTATTCGACGGATTAACATCACGGCACACGGGTGTAACCCATAAGTGCTCCTTTCTACTTCTTACCAAAGCCTGGGTCTGAAGAATCTCAGCACAATGCACGAACTCCGTTGCACCGGCGAGGATCTTGAAATACTTTGGGTACATTTTCAACTCCAAATTTTGTCCGGGCAGCACCGTTAGGCTACTCTTTTCGATTTCTAGCTACCAAGGTGTTTTTTACGTGCTTAAGAATACACACGGGAGTTCGATTTTACTACCCAGATACCAGGGAAATTATCTCTGAAAAAATCCCAGCCTTCACCGGGGCTTGAACTCGCCACCTCCAGCACTCGAGGCGGACACTATACTTTAAGACCACTCAGCTCCCTTATTTAACAATAATTCTACAGCAATGTAACCATCCATGTTGTTAGTTTAACCAACATTGTTGATGTTGTTAGTTTAACCAACATTGTTGATGTTGTTAGTTTAACCAACATTGTTGATGTTGTTAGTTTAACCAACATTGTTACTTTCGTTAGTTCAACCAACATTGTTGATGTTGTTAGTTTAACCAGCATTGTTGGTGTTGTTTGTGTTAACCGGCTCTGAACTCCAGCGAAAAGACCT